GCTGGAGTGCAATGGCGCGATCTCGGCTCACCGCAACCTCCGCCTCCTGGGTTCAGGCAATTCTCCTGCCTCAGCCTCCTGAGTAGCTGGGATTACAGGCACGCGCCACCATGCCGAGCTGATTTTTTGTATTTTTGGTAGAGACGGGGTTTCACCATGTTGACCAGGATGGTCTCGATCTCTTGACCTCGTGATCCACCCGCCTCGGCCTCCCAAAGTGCTGGGATTACAGGCGTGAGCCACCGCGCCCGGCACTAAACAACATTTTTAAATGTCCTCGTCCTGTCACTCCGCAGATTCCAAGCACCCAGGAGTCACTGGACTCAAAGCATCACCTGCCACAGCCAATCAGAAACCAAAATGGCCGGTTACTAGGCAGACCCTAGTGGGTAGGTCAAACAGGGAGTCCTGCAGACAGATCTCACTGTGCACAGATGGCTGCTGAGGAAAGGTGGGCCTTGGCCAGGAGCTCCAGGAGCCACCTGTGCAGAAATTTCGCCAGTCTCCAAGCCTCGTGGAGCGGTCACATGGCGCTCCGGACCCACTCTGCAGTCCACTGCCCCAAAGGTCATCATGGGATGAACACAGCTCAACATTGGTGAAAGGTGTGGGTGTCTTCACGCATATATTAACTAGTAACTGTGGGCTTTGCTTTGGAGACAGAACTAAAGCCCCACCCTCTTCTCCTCTGCCAGTGGAGCCTGCGGTTTTAATGGGCACAGGATGGGAGCGGGACAGGCCATAAGTGGGTTTTGAAAAGGGTAACATTCTAATGGGAAGAGAAGGACTTAAAAGTTCTCACTTTGGGCCAATCTGAAAAGGTCACATACTGCACGATTCCAACTCTATGACATTCTGACAAAGGCAAAACTATGGAGACAGTACAAAGATGCGTGGTTGTCGGGGGCTGGGGAGAGAGAGGGAGGAATAGTTGGAGCACGATGATCTGTAGACTTTGGGTGATAATGAAGTGGCAGTGTAGGTTCATGAGTTCTAGCAAGTGTATCATTCTGTTGGATTGTGCTGATGATTACGTTGATGATGGTGGAAGCGAACGCGTGTGTAGTGGCAACAGGAATACATGAAGTCTTTGAACCTTCCACACTACTTTGCTGTGAACCTACTAAAACTGCTCTAGAACCTGGATTTTTGTTTTGTTTTGAGACAGAGTCTGACTCCGTCAACCAGACTAGGGTGCTGTGGCACAGTCTTAGCTCACTTCAACCTCTGTCTCCTGCGCTAAAATGATTCTTCTGCCTCAGCCTCCTGGGTAGCTGGGTCTACAGGCATGAGCCACCACACCCAGCTAAGTTTTGTCTTTTTTCACCATGTTAGCTAGGATGGTCTTGAACTCCGCAGTTCAAGTGATCCACTCACCTCAGCCTCTCAAAGTGCTGAGATTACAGGGGTTAGCCACCACACCAGGTGAACATGGATTTTTTTTTTTTTTTTTGAGATGGAGTTTCGCTATTGTTGCCCAGGCTGGAGTGCAGTGGCACAATCTCGGCTCACTGCAACCTCTGCCTCCCGGGTTCAAACGATTCTCCTGCCTCAGCCTCCCGAGTAGCTGTGATTACAGGCATGCACCACAACACCTAATTTTTGTATTTTTAGTAAAGATAGGGTTTCTCCACATTGGTCAGGCTGATCTGGAACTCCTGACCTCAGGTAATTGGTCCACCTCAGCCTCCCAAAGTGCTGGGATTACAGGTGTGAGCCACCTCACCTGGCCAACAAAGATTTTTTAAAAGAGCTAATAAAACATTTCAATTGGTCAGAGTTTTCCAATCTGAGAAGTGAACGTTATTTAGCTGAACTACCAGTCTCCAACACCTCTGAAACTAACAGGATTTCTCTCTACTGCAAAATGTTACTTGAGCAGTCCCTGAGATAACAGCAAAGGGCTTTCCATGTTTCCTAGACTGTGCAGTCTCATTCCAACTTATTTCATGCTGGGTTGTGGAGAGATTCTGACAGGTTTCCCATATTCCTTACATTCGTATGGCTATGAACTGTGATATAGTAAGACACGAGAAGCAAATGAAGGACTTCTTGCACTTTTTATAATCACAAGGTTTTACCCCGGCGTGAATCCTCATGAAGATATTAAGGCTTGAGCAATGAAATAAGGTGACACCATATCCCTGTGATACATGGGTCTTCTTCCATTGTGAGATTTCATGTTAATATTATGGCATGTGAGATATTTTTTTTTTTTTTTTTTTTTTTTTTT